TCTCTCTTGCTCTTTTTCTTTGTCCTTAGTTGTCGCTTCTATCCTTTGGTAGTTAGATGTGAAATTTTTCTTTTTCAGGTGTTTTTTTTTTTTTTTTTTCCTTGATAAAAGGCAGGCATTTTCCATTAACTACAAAGAACAATCCCTACATTATATATGCACCCAAGCGTGCCTGGGGAATTGCATTCTCTATTAAAGTTTCTCTCTTTGAAAGTTTCTTTCTTTTGGGAGTGTATGTCTTGACTTTCTCTGCGTATTATCATTGGGCTGTGTTCGTAGTGGAGAACGATGGCACGTATGTAAGATTGGCTAGGTTCAGATGGGACGCAGTAGTATCTTTAATTGTTAGCGGCATGGTTGGGGATTAGGCCCTGAACTAATCTTTCCACTCTAAAACTAATGAGTTTTATAAAAAATTTCTTAGATGTCCATGCACAACTGAATAGTACTTTTCGGTTTGTTTGCTTCTTTATGGTAATTGTTTATGTAATTCTTGTTAATTGATGACTATCTATATTTAATTATTTATTTATATTACAGATAAAATCATCTATTAATAGTGTTATAGATTTAATTTCACTTTGTTATACCAATATAGCAAAATTTATTGATATTTCTTTATAATCTTTCTCCATTATAATGAATCTCTTCAATTTTTATTTTTAAAAAAGAGGGTTTTTGTTGATGGTTGCCTAAGAATGGGTTGAACAATTAATAAACTATCTCAACAACTACATTTTTGTCTTGTTTATTGGTCTAGATGAATTATGCTGACTAGCAACATTTGTCATATCTATAATATATCTAGTTGAGTTATTGCATTCCTGTATCATTTAGATTGCCAAATAGACTTGTATTACATTTAGTGTGCTATACTTTTGAGGTTTGTAGCTTCTCCTTCGTGCTCTACCTTTCGGTTAGTCACTAACCCTTGTCTTATTGACGAATGCAGAGTCGAGTTCTACTAAAAATATCCATACAAATATCACCCATCATTTTCATTTGGTCCCAAAGAAAGAAAGATGAGAGGAAGACACAAAATCAACTTCTACAATTTCATTTTGATTCACTTTCCCGCAACAAACTTCCATTCAACTGCTTCACGTTCGGTAACTTGAGTTCCCAATCCCAAATGATTCATCAATAACCAAACGAAAGTCAGAAGTTCTCCCCCGTTACTTGGTTGCTGCGCATGGACATATGCCCTACAATTAATCGCTGCATAGGACATGAATTCTACCCAAACTTTGCTCATCAGTTCCCATCGCTTAACATTCAACTTCTTGAGTTCGTCAGCGAGGATTACTGCATCAAACAATATCGATATGCTTTCTCCACCTTTTAAAGCCCTAGGCTTCATTTGTGCTCCCACTTTACGGATCGCTTCGCAGGCCGCCTCTGGAGTTGAAACGGGATCTTCAGACAAGAATCTCTTGGTCTCTGCAAATGTGTCTTGGAATACCAACTTCCAATTGCCGTACACAGGAGCCATCATTGTTGGCTGCATCATCAGAAGGTAAAACATATAATCCGAAAGTAATTTGCATATTGATTTATAATCAATATTCTCAGATGAAGGCCCGTCCTCAGCTTCGTTTTCGTCACATAACTCGACCTCAGCTTTGTCTTCGTCACAAAACTCTGTCGCAATGTGCCACATTAGAAGGCTTTCCGTGTATTCAAAATCATGAATGCTCTGCCTCAGATTCTCATTTTCACATTTGCTGAGAATTCCATCCCCTCTTTGTAAAGAAATCCTCTTACCCTGTGCCACGGTCTCGGCAGTCCAAGACTTTTTCATCAGTTCACTGCAAATGAAGTGCCATTCTTCATTTTTTCTGAATTTCTTGGAGGACCGATGTTGCATTCCATTAATGGCTTCCAAGATACTCCTCAAGCGCAGAGCTTCGGCCAGCTTGTTTACCCATTCTGGATAATCCTTTAAGCAATAAGTAAAAAAATTGTACTGGGACACAGATTCAGACCACCTGCGCCTATTGATAACTCTAAATGCAAGATTTTTGGCCCCCTTGTCCCCATACTCGTGCCGAAAAGTCCAGTCAGAAAAAATGACAAAGATGAGAGAAATGAAGTCCAATACCATGGCACCAATCAGTAAACCGTAGGTTAGCCTGATGTCAAACATTTGGAACGAATGCTTCTTAACAAATAAGAATGAAAAGAAGGCACCCAAGATGCAACCAAAACTAACACTGCGGAAAATGTATCCACCTTTACAGCGTATCACCTGCACCTTGGTATGAAGAACCTCATACAAAATGCTGAGCTCAATCTCTATGATTTGGATCACGTAATTTGGATGTAGCCTGAGAAAAAACGCTCGGCTCTCCCTGCGTTCTTCTGGACTAAGAGGAAGTCCTGCAACTAACCCCTTCAAAGTATCAAAGAATTCAAATGCAAACTGTAAAATTCTCGTTGATTCAAAATATCCCCTTGAAAAACGAAAGTCTTCTAGGTACTCCATGTTTTCAAAATTCTCTTCTGATCTTTTTATCATTGCTATTCGTGCTATTCGTGCTGGAAGGTAAGCTCGTTTAATTGAAGAGTACCTCCTCTGAATCCTTTGATATTCAACGGCGGAGGGGTTTGGCTTTCTACATGCAGATTCTTCAAAATGATTCGAGCTTGCAAGATACAAAGCACGAGTCCGCTCTGCATATTTGATTATTCCTGCAATAAACATGAACCCGGAAGGGAGCCACAGAATGTTCTTTGGGAGTGATTGAAGCAAGACATAGATTGTAGATAGAACCTGTAATGCAAGCCCAAGCATGTGCCTAACCCACAACTCGTTGTCCTCTAGGGCGAAAGATGTAATCGTGTCGGGGCCACCAAGATGCAACAAAAGAAATGGTGCCCAAAAAGCCAAGATGTCATTGCTTTCATGAGTCGACATGTTAGCCTGACTGCTGGGGGTGAGTCCGAGGCCGCTAGAGATGAGTCCAATGGCAACTGTAGCAACCCAGTCCGCAAGCAGATAAGCTGACCAGATAAACGTGACAATTTTCCATCCACCTCTTCGTTTTCTTGATGATGCAAACATGATCAAGAAGGCTTGCAGTGAGAGACTGACAATAATGAGTCCTCGAAGATTCCATCTCTCCCATAGCCTCCTGACACTGTCTGGAATGGAGAGAAGCATTTTTCTGCACTCTTTTCTTCTCTGCAAATTTTCACTTCTTGCAAAACTTAATTTTCTGTAAAGTAAAACCAATGGCAAAAATATCAAATCAGCCCCTGCACTTAGGAATCTGTGGCATATCAACCCCCCAACTCATTTTAGTGGCAAACAAATCCCAAACTCATCAACTACAACAAGCGGCCAATCAGGCCTTTTTTTTTCCTCTTTTTTTTTTTTTTTTCCTTTTTCTTTTTTAACATATGATATCCATTCGACTCAAAAAGAAATACATCAAGATTTAGTTCCAAGTCTTTCTAATTTCTCAAGTAACCGAAAACTAAAATATACTTGATCACGTTTCAATTTCACATTCTTTATCCATGAACATAAAAACCCAAGATTCAAAAACTATAGTTTCTGCAAAATTTTCAGTATTTTTCAAGCAACCCAACAACCGACCAACCAAGTAATATCAGATGAATAAAAAATAGATCTATTTACACTGCATAAAACCAATGAAAACAAACACACGAATCAATAACACAAAAAGAAGTAAAACGAATGAGAATCACAATTTCAACTTTGAACTCACGTCCAATTGATTCCACACGATTCTTGGCCGCTTCTTTGTTGGTGGGAGGCCTATGCCCAAAAATCTCCCTGAAATCCTCTTCAACCTCCTTATTAGACTTCACCAGTGAGAATTTCGCCCTCCCTCTCTACCACCATCATCGGGTTCCTCTTTCTCCCATCTTCATCATCTCATTTTTCAAGGGAGAAAAACTGGTACCATTATTCACTTTCGTCTCCTCAATTCTCAAGTTCTTCCAACAAGAAGAAAATGCATTTCCCTGCTCGTGGAAGAGGACAAGAGCCTGGAGATATGATTTATGGCAAATCTGGAAAATTCCAGATCTTGGTTTGCTAACAGTGCTATAGTAGTATCGGGCTATGGAGTCATGGCTGCCCAACGATCATAGTTGGCCATCACTGGACTTGGCTTTGGTACTATCCTGTGTTTGGTGACGATCAAGCGGAGGAGGTTTTTGTTGGGTTGGATTGGTGTTCGACGAGCAAGAGTCGATGGGAAAACTGATTTGGTTCTAAAAGACACACGCAACAAGGGGCTAACGAAAATACAAAAAGGAAAAGAGGTAGACTACTTAAAAGTTAGTCAATGATGACAATTTCCCCTTTTTTTTTCTTTTTTTCTTTTTTTCCCTTTTTTACGGTGACAATGTGCAGATGAGAAGATTAAAATACAAGAAAAAATAAGGAAAATTAAAAAATTCCGAGATTTTGTTCAAATAAATAAATAAATTTTAAAACTTTACTGTATTAATTAAGTATATAAACTTTTTCTTGTAATAACCAGAGGAAGTTTGCATAGTATCCAAATATGTAGACAAGCACCGAAAATCTCTCACTTGTTTTTTGCTGATGATAGTTTTCTGTTCCTTCGAGCCACTGAGACTGAAGCCAGAAATTTAATGGTTATTCTGCGAGGCTATGAAGCTGCATCTGGCCAAGTGATCAACTTGCAAAAATCCTCCATTACCTTTAGCAATAACGTGCAACAGAGGACACGAAGCTGTATCTCCACAGTCTTGGGCATGATAGAAGTCGAGCTTCCGGGAAGGTATCTGGGCCTCCCTACTTACATAGGCAGATCAAGAACAACCGTTTTCTCTGGCCTAAAGAACAGATTCTGGGCACGCATAAGTGAGTGGCGAGAACAGCCACTATCTCGCGCTGGTCGAGAAGTTCTCATTAAATCAGTGTTACAATCTCTCCCAACTTACTTGATGAGTCTTTTCCTCTTACCGGCCTCTCTATGTACCGATCTGGAGCGTATTATGAATAGATACTGGTGGGGAGGAGGGGAGGACGACCACAAGATCCATTGGATGGAATGGAAGAAGCTTGCCACCTCAAAGAGAACAGGGGGCTTAGGCTTCCGAGCTATGCGAGATTTCAACCTAGCGATGCTAGGAAAGCAAGGCTGGAGGCTCTTAACATACCCGGATTCCTTAGCAGCGAGACTTATGAAGGCAAAATACTTTCCCCGTTCGGACGTGCTTCATGCAGAGCTAAAATCTCCCTGTAGTTTCACCTGGCGCAGCATCTGGTACTCAGCAACTCTGTTAAAGCAAGGTTGTAGACGCCTGATTGGAGATGGTCGAAGTACAAAGATATGGGGTGACCCCTGGCTCCCTGGCAATATGCAATTTTATGTTCAGTCACCCCGGCCTCATGGGTGTGACCTTCGGTTTGTAAGTGAACTAATTGATGAAGAAACGAACTCGTGGCGAAGAGATTTGGTCCTTGAGACTTTCACTGCACATGAAGCTCAACTGATATTAGCCATGCCTTTGAGCTGGATGAGGAGGGAAGATAGCTGGATGTGGCACTTTACCAAGCATGGTAATTACACTGTCAAATCTGGTTACTATAGAGCTCCTGGTATGGCAAGGTCCCATGATGGGTCGTCCGCATCCTCAACAGTCTTTGGAGGCAACCGGATATGGTCCCTTAATATCCCAGAAAAGGTGCGCTTGCTTGTTTGGAGTGCTTACCAAAATGTTATCCCTACAAAGGACAATCTCCATAAAAAACATGTTGATGTGGACTTGGAATGCCCGTTGTGTGGGGTGGAGAGGGAATCTGTTTTCCATTGTTTTGTCTCTTGTTCCCTAGCCCGTGCAGTATGGCTAGGTTGTCCTTTAAACCTGAGGGTCTCTGAACTCCCTGGGGATGACTTTGCAAATTTTTTTGATACCACAGCCAGCGTCTTAGGGGCAGAGCAGCTAGAACTTGTCTGTCTGTTGTGTTGGAATTTATGGACATGCCGGAATGCTGCTCTCTGGAATAATTCTCGCATTAACCCACAGCACATCATCCAGCGCACTATGCACTTTATGAGGGAATATAGGACAGCTATACTATCGAGAGGCAGAGGGGCAGCAGTAGTGCAGCAAGCTAGTGAAACCAGATGGCACCCTCCAGATCCCGGATTTATAAAGTTAAATGTAGATGGAGCAATATCTGTCCAGAACAGATGTTTTGGTATGGGTGCTTTGGCGCGTAACCATGCAGGGGCGGTACTTGCAGCTATGGCATGCAAAGGCCAGGGGGCAGTGGATGCTGCAGTGGCTGAAGCCTGCAGTCTTCGGAGGGC